GAGGGAGACAGGTATCCAGGTGATTGCAACACCGGGTGGAGGACACTGACCGCAAGCCGGTGCCAGGGGACCCCAGGGCAGTTTCCTGTGGTCTCTCAGGACAGCACACTGCAGGAAGGACCCATCCACCTGATTCTCCCAAGACCAAGTATGACACCAAAACACAACGAACAGAAAGCCCTCCCTCCCCCTCTGAAGGGGCTCAAGAATCCAGATGAGCTCTCCCACCCTGGGTGCTGGGTAACAATCAATCCACAGTTTTTGTTTCCAGGGCAGGATCTGTCCCTAAATTGGTTTTTTTTTTGAGTCACAGTAATTTAGAGGCGGGACTGAATTTTGTCCCAGTTTGCTTTTCTAACCTCTGCTTTCTCTTGGATGGTAAAGTGCCATGTGATTTGTTATGATTGGCGGCGAAGCGTCCATGGAAGGGAAGGCCCCCTGCCTGCCATTCGAAGCCTGGGCTCTGTGATAGAAATACCCAAATGCTCAAGGTCATCCAGTCCACCTCTCTCCCCATCTGGCACGCACACTCTTCCAGAAACTGAAAGCCGAGGTCCAACTACAGGAAGGAGCAGACACCTGGACGTCAGTCTGAGTGAGGATGTCCCAGAGATTTCGTGCTCCCAAAGCCTTCTCCGGATCTCCGCATGAGTAGCTTTGCTTCACACCCCCCTCCCCCTGGAAGCGCCACTGTACACAGCCTGTGATTGCTGCTGGTACGCGGGGAACCAGAGGTCACCAGTGGACCCCAGAGCTGCCCAAGGGGGATAATGACCCTGGGTGGGAAGCAGCCCACAAAATTCACATTTAGGACCCTTTAAAAATAGATGCTGTCTTACTATTCTCAACCAGTATTTATTTATTTATTTATTTATTTATTTATTTATTTATTTATTTATTTTAAAGATTTTATTTATTTGACAGAGAGAGACACAGCGAGAGCAGGAACACAAGCAGGGGGAGTGGGAGAGGGAGAAGCAGGCTTCCTGGCTAGCAGGGAGCCTGATGTGGGGCTCGATCCCAGGACCCTGGGACCATGACCTGAGCCGAAGGCAGACGCTTAACGACTGAGCCACCCAGGCGCCCCCTCAACCAGTATTTAAACATCTGGGCAGGTCTTGCCTTGAGACACTCCGGCCGGACCGCTCTGCGTGGAGTGAGGTGGGAGCTCATAGTGGAGTCTCAGACTCTGGAGCTTGGCTTCCTCGGCAGGCTAAAAGGCTCTTATAACCGCTTTCAGATTGATTTACTCAGCAAATCCTTTCCCCTTTAAATGCAGAAAGCTAAAGTCAAATTCACTGATCAAAAATGTCCAATTAATGGATAAAGGCTGAGCTGCCACTTTGTCACAAATTAAAACCAGATCTTGTAGGACTCCTGCTGGCCTCCAAAGAAAAACATCTCTTGCTGAAAACAGTCCGCCCCTCACTAAAGTTTTAGGACGGCGTAGATCACATTCTATAGAGTTACGAGGAAAAAATACGAGTAGGAGGGCAAACATCAAAGTTTAGCTATTCCGGTTGATTTGAGCAAGGAAGTGTAGCCCCCGTGTCACTGAGAGTCCCCGGCGGGGCTCCCACCCTCACCCACAACAGGCACCGAAGTCAGGACTTGCGTCCTGTTTCTGGTGCCTGGTGGGAACAGTGGGGCGTTGACTGGTAAAAGCCAACGTTGGCTTAAGTCCCGGAACACAGCTCCTCGTAACTGCCTGGGCCACTGACTGACCTTCTTACTCAAATTAAAAGTAGATGGTTCTCAAGGTTACCGAACGTCCCAGCCAGGAAGGGCGTTCCTGAGTGCAGAACATCACTGCTTTGCATCCTGCTCTCCCCCAAACTGCGAGCCGCCCCAGATCTCAGGGGGGCCTTGCTGACGAGCTGCGGACACCCGTCAGTCCCCAAGAGCAAGGCGCCGCTGCCGCGCTCACCCACACTGAGTGCTCAGGGGAGTGGAGGGCACTGTGGTGACCCTCGCCATATGCTGTGCTTTCTAAAGCTCATGAGAGCAGAAGTTATACTCTTGGGTTGTTCTTTTTTTTCATGAAAAATCCAAAATTTGGGCAGTTAAAGCATTAAGAACAAAAGACACAAAATTCTACTAACCAACCATGGATATTCATTACTCACCTTTTCCCTGTATATTTATAGGAAATACATATTTATGGGGAATCAAACATTGAAGAAAGTGGTTATTTTACAAAAAACACTGCAGATTAATATGACAATTGGACATAACAAACTAACTGCCAGCAAACATTCTGGAAAGATCCATGAAGGTATAAAGAGTATTTGAACATCATAGTTTCTTCTGCATTAAAAAAAAAATCCCCTCATGATTTCAACAAATTTCTATGTTCACAGCTGTGTCTGAATCTTATGAAAAAAGTCCAGTTGAGTCTTTGGGATTTTTTTTACATGGACTTAGTTTTTTTTCTTCTAAAATGACTCTCCTTGTTAAAGAGAAAAGACACAGCTGTTTTCAGTCATGGTTTCCTCAAATTTCCTTCAGAAACTGTCTTAACTGCCGGTGGAAAGATGGTTTCCATGTGAGACCAGGGGAATCAGGAACACCTCATGATCGGCTCTAAGACCCCATCTTCAAACCACCCACTACAATCATTTCACACTGAGAACCATGCATCATGCACCGTCAAGAGATTTAACATAACAAGAGCTCAGTGTCACCTCTGAGAACAGCGGATGCAGCCCTGCAGCTCTTCTCCAATGCGCTCTGTGCTTGCGGCCTGTCCCATTTTTCCATCAACTAGAGATGTAAGAAGTGACCTTGTAGGGAAGAAGTCATGGACGGATCTGGGAACACAGGCTTGAACCTGAAAGTACGTTCTGTGACAAATACCCCCCGAACTACAAGTATTTCACAGGGAAAGGGCTCTTTTCCCACATGTAACTCGACCTCTTATCTGCTTTGCAATTCTCTACAAGAGGACCAAGGATGGAATTTCTTTGTGAGACAAAACTAGAAATAGGGACCCTTTGCTGCGCGGTAATGAGGAATTAAAAAAAAAAAAGGATTTCTAGTTCCAGCTACCAGCTAAAATTCTTTAGGAAATTCCTGCATGAAAAATATAGTCAGTTCAAAGCCCAAAGCCGGCAGATGTAATCCACGTGGGTTTATGGCCACACTCAAGGTTTGGGGTAATGAGGCAGAGGGGCAGAAAGATGGGTCCGCGGTTCCCGGAATGGGTGCAGGTGCAGCAGGCCTACCGCCAAGCTGGCTGAGGGCCTGGGTGGACAGAGGACCCCCTCCCTGCTCGGCTCGCTCTTTCTGATTTTAATTTCTCGGCCCCCCTGACCGTCTTTCAGGGGAGACTGTTCGGAAGTGTGTCTCAGATCATCCTTAAACCCATTCTGTGTCCGTGCCAGCATAAAGCTGCTTTGGGTCACCAGACTTTCACTAGCCAACCTAATGGTTACAGGTCTCAGCAGAAAAACAAGGAGTCCTGTTTTCAAGTGTTCTCTCTCCTGCGCTCTTCCTCTAACAGAGCCGAGTGCACTGGGGATGGACACGGGGTCCTCAGCCTCAGGGTGGAGGACTAACCCGCTCCCACACGCGGCTCAGCAGCAGTCTGCACCAGGCCTAGTGGGTGGGCCCCCTCCACGCTGTGTGAGGCTTGGTGGTGACGTCTGCGCCATGCGTTACTTCCGTCCCCAAGAGAACAGACAGGAGCACAGTCCTGTCCCCCCTTCAGGCCCTCCATGCGGGCAGGTGTTGTCCGGGGGTGCTCAGTCAGCATCTGAACGGCTTACAACCCAGCGGAGGAAGAGCAGTGGAGGGAGCGGGATGTTGTGGGAGATCAGAGGCATGTGTTTTTGCTTCAGAGAACAGAAGGGCCAACGGTAGAGAAGCTACAGGACAACAGACTGCGGCCAGCAAGGGAGTCAGGGAGTGAGTCCCCGAACAACGGAGAAGCCGGAAAGCTACTTAATAGAAATGTGGGTTGGAGTCAGGGAACCATAAGGTCCCTTCCAACTCCTGACTTCAGGCCCTAGAAAAATATTCAGATCCAATTTGGAAAACCATTCTCAGAAAATAAGCAATAACGCTTTTGGAAAGAACACTGTATTTAAAAACATTTCCACCCGCTCTCTTGGGAGGACCGAACTAGAGGCAGAATGGGAGGGACATGGGTGCAGGAGTCGGGGTATTAGTGGCACCAGGAGCCCCCCCACCCCCATCTCGGGCCCCAGTCTGATGGCAGAGGGAACAGAGCTCCATGGGACACCCTCAACCAGAAAGCTTCCAGGGCCCACTGGCTGCCTCCCCCTCTCTGCACGCCCAACCCCAGCCAGTGCGGTGCTGTTCTCTCTGGGCACTAACATACGTGTGGCCTGACACCGGACGGTGCCCTCGTCTCCTGGGTGATCAGATGTGAGACCTGAACATCCGTGGGTTTTGGCTAGTGTGGAAAAGACCCCGATTTGGATCTAAATGAGTCACCGGCTTCATGTAAGTTCTACTCACGTAGAGGGGCAGAAAGCACCATTAATATGTGTGGAAATTCATGTAAATTTTAATGTTGTGTAGTTCCTGGATCCCAACTCAAGTGTCTCTATCACAGTCAGGGTTTACGTTGGGCAATCAGAAGTCCTACTCACTGCACCCGAGTCAGGGTATCAGGTGAGCAGCACGGCCAGAGAGACCCGACGCTTCCGGAAGCTTCCGACTCTGCACCTGGGGCTCGCTGTTACTGCTCAGCAGAAATGCCCACCAGGGCTGGTCAAGCCGGGTATCGAAGTAAAAATAACACCTGTTTGAACTTTGTACTTTTTTGAAAATATAAAATCCAAACATCAGCCAACACTCATGAGATAACGTGAGTTTGTTGACTGTTCATACAGAATATGAAAATACCCCATGATTTTTTAACAAAGCGAAGCCTGTTCCTGCATTTTGGGCCTCCCTTTCCAAACTTCTGGATTTTATTTCCATTTCAAAGGAACAATTGAGAGGCACTGGTTCTGAATTTAACACTATATTTATTAAAGTGTTTTTATTAACAAACTTTCACCAGAAAGTTCCGAGTGTGTCAGCACAGGGGGCCCACTGGCTTCAAGCTCTGGCATCTGACGGCCCGCAGAACCGGACGTCAGCCGGACCCCTCGGCCACAGCTCTGGGGGTCGTTAGAGCAGCACCGGGTGTCCCCCAGGCCACAGTTAAATACAGGTTTCGGTTCTTTCTGATTTGAATGTTCCGAGTCGTGTGACAGGCGCGGCTCTGCTTTCCTATCTGCCTCGTCCGCCTGAGCCCCCAGCCCCGAGCCCTTGTTCCCGGCCCCTCTGCTGCCCTCCACGTTCCCGAGCTCTCTGTTTCTGGAGAGTCCCCTTTGGCTGTTTTCGGGATCACAGTTCGGTTTTCGTAAGGACCCGGGGCTTCTGCGGACAAAGGACGGTGGCTCTGGCGTCTGTGGACCGGGCTCCTCCGTGCCCTGGGCGCCGTGGGCGCTGGCCTTGCCGCCTTTCTCCTGGGCCTGCCCGTGCTGCCCCGGGTGGAGGAAGAGGCCTGTGGGCAGAGGACTCTGTGCTCCCGGCCGTCTGGCTCTGCCCTGCAGGCAGGCGCAGTGGCAGATGTGTGGGACGGCGCACACGAAGCCTTCGGGGGCCTGCTGTGCGGCCTGCAGGGGCGCCACGCCCTTCTGCACGTGCCCTAAGCTGCTGGTGGTGGCGGTGGCGGCGCATCGGGGGCACAGGCCGTCACCTGCCTGCTGGCACACGTGCGGGCCGGGACTCAGGTGTCTGTAGGCGTTTGGGCAACCACACCTCTGATGGAGAGAGAAGAAGTGACACAGGGCGTGCTGCTCGAGAGCGGGCGGGAAGGAGGCAGGGCTGGCTTCGTGTCTGGAGCTTGGACTGTAAGCGGCATGCACGGGCAGCCCCAGACTGTTGGCCTGGCCGCTGAAAAACTCAGAGCAGATGTGGGTCTCCTCATAAGCCGCCTTCCCAGAGGCGGTGCAGCTGTGGGATGTCAGAGGCTCTAATTCATAGAACTCGTGCTCCACGTCGGGTTTCTGGGCCCTGGGGTCTAAATGATATGCATTCACGGCATGTGTTTTGCTCTGCCCCTTGTCGGCAGGGGTCATGGACAGGGCGTGGGAGAAGGCACTGCACCGGAGCTTCCTGGGGAGTGGAATCTGCCCACAGGTGCCCTGCGGCCCGAGGCAGCGGCACATGCACTGGAAAAAGAAGGTGGCAAAGGCCCAGCTGACGCACATGATGAGCATCATGAAGGTACCCAGCTGGGTGTATGCCAGAACCGTGGACGGCATCATCATGGCCCCGGCCACAAAGGTGGTCAGGGCGGCCATGGCAATGGCGGAGCCCATGCGGCTCAGGGAGAAGATCACCTTCCCCTCCCGGTCGGTATCCGGGGCCAGGCGGTAAGCAACCCCGTAGTGGACGGCAAAGTCCACGGAGAGGCCAACGGCCACGGAAATGATGACAGACTCCAGGACGTTCAGCTCCCAGCCCAGCAGGACGAGGGCGCCGACGGTGACAAATATGGTCCCGGCGATAGACATGATGGCATACAGGCTTACAATGACGTTCCAGGTGGTAAGCAGCATGACACTGAAGGCCACGGCCACGGACAGCCCCATGGCGACGAGCGTGCCGTTGGACAGGCTATCCTGGAGGTCGTAGAACTCCAGATTGCTGATGAACCAGCCGTTGCTGAGGCCCTCGGGAGCCGAGCTCAGCTCCCGGGAGATCCAGGCGTCCACCTCCTCATAGAACTGGTGCATCTTCTCGTAAGCCAGTGTGAAGAGGTAGGTGCTCTGGAACTCCAGCACCACCGCCCGGATGGTGTCATTGACGTCGAACCGTGGCCCCGGGGTCTTGCTGTCCAGATGGTAGCCCGTACCCCTCTCCAGCTCCATGATGGCCCTCTTGATGCACAGCTCGAAGACCTCCTGCTTGTAGGGGAAGCTCCAGCGCCGGCAGCACAGGTACAGGGCAGGCTCGTCGCAGTCCTGGTTCTCCATCCACTGCTTGAACGTCTCGATGAAGCAGCTGGTGAAGTCCTGCTCCCCCATCTGGTAGAAGAAAGTCTGGTTTCTCAGTTTCTGACAGAAGTGCAAGATCCAGACCTGGGAAGCCGGGCTTGCGATGTTAAAGCTGCCATCCAACGCCAGCTTCCCTTTACTCTTGGGGTTCAGGGGGTCGCCATTGTCTTCTGGGGACACGCCCCAGACCACGGTGATGGGCATGTGCAGCTCCTCGCCACGGTGGACGCGCTCAAACATGAAGAGCTTCTTGTACTCGGCATCATAGCGCTCAAAGGGGTGGGAGGGCCTGAACAGCTGAAACTCAGACAGCTCCAGGGAGGGTAACTTCATCTTGGGGTTCACGCATACGACGTAGGCCCCGCCCACGGTCAGGGCCAGGAACCACAGCAGCCAAAGGTAGCGGAACTTAATGACGATACACGGCAACACCTTCTCAAAAAAAATGCGCGATGCTTCTGAAATGGCAAACAGTGCTTTGTGGCACGTCCGGCGGGCCACGGTCCAGCAGCTCTTGCCCTCGTAGACCTGCTGCGGTGGCTTCTTGAAGCAGCTGAACATGTTGAGGAGGTAGCGCTCATGCAGGACGACAACGGCCGGGAGCCACGTAACCATGAGCACATAGTTCACCAGGATGGCGGTCCCCGCGTACACACCGAAGCAGCGGATGGCGGTGATGTTGCTCACGTAGTTGGCATAGAAGGCGGCGGCCGTGGTAAAGCTGGTGACAAACATGGACAACGCCGCGTGCTGCAGAGTGACACCCACCGTCTCCGTGGTCGCCGCATGCGGCCGGTCGAACTTGGTGTAGCTCCACACGTCACACAGGACAAATGCGTCATCTGCGCCAATTCCAACCAGAATAACAAGTGCGGTGAGGTTCATGAAAGGGAAGAACTCAAAGTTGAACACCACGCGGTAGAGGAAATAGGAAACGATGAGGGAGCTGATGACAGCGAACATGGTCATCAGCGTGATGAACAGGGACCTGGTGTAGGCGCACATGACCAGGAGGACCAGCAGGACCGCGATGGCCGGGTACGCTGTGTCCGTGAGGAGATAGTCCTGGAATAGGCTGTGTTTGATGCCGAACTCGATGCCGGCGATGGTGGTGATGCCATCTGAGCCGTTCCAGGGCTCGAAGTTGTCCAGGTAAATGTCCATCATGCTCTCCCCCTTCTCCGTGGGAGAGAAGAGCATGCTGTACTTGAGTGCCGGTGCAGCAGGGTCAGCCGCCCTCGCGGCCAGGAAGTCCTTGTCCACCAAGTAGTGCAGGATCTGATACACGGCGTTGTACCTAGTGCACTTGCGCGGCACGCCCGTGCACTTGAGCTGCCCCTTCCTCCTGGCGCCCGCATCCCAGCAGTCGGGCTCCAGGGTGCCGTTGTGGTAGTGCTTGGCGCATGCACGCAGCAGCTTCAGGGTGTGAGATACGTCTCGCTCCACGATCTTCTGGCAGGACGACCTATTGTTGAGGACGGCGATGTAATTCCCCAGCGTCCAGCTGGGGCAGCAGGACGTGGCCGTGGCCCTCTGGCACAGGTCGCCAAACTGCGGGTGGGATCTAATCTGTGGAGAGAGACATGGGGAGACCGGCGTTTAGAACCGCTTCACCCAGAGGCCTGAATTAAGGCGGCCTTGAGGGACAGGTTAAATAGCCATCCTCCTAGTTAGGTGTCAGCTGGGACACAGGTGGCCACCCCCCAGAGCCTGCCCTGCGGAACACCCACCGGGCGCTTCCCTCTGGACAGAAAACTGCTCAGCGTGCGGGGGACACGCAGGCATGTAACCACCAGTGCTGGTTCGGTTTTAAGAAGGACACAGAATTAGCAGCTCTTTAGGAGACAGGCCTTTTCCAAGTTACTTTAAAAGGCAATGAAAAGGACAGGCCATGGGCCCATGTACGGAATCTATAGGATAATTTAAGAGAACAGTTGTCCAATTGATAGAGGAAACAAATTGGTGGCTTTGCCTAAAACTTCTGGTTATCGGCATGAAATTTTTGGTGACAAAGGTACTACATCTCAACCAACCTAGCTGGAAGCAAAGATGGTATTCTCCCAGAAAACTGTCAGCGACCCCCAAGGTGACACGGGGAGCACTGATGTCAGGGGTGCGCAAGAGACTGGGGCTGAAACGGTTTCCTGAGAGGCAAGCACAGTCTGCATATCTGATTAACAAATACTTCAGTAGGAGCTGATGTCTTCCCCACTTCCATCAAAGCTTCCTGGAGCTGGCGGAAACTCTCTGGGTTTTGGTGACATGGGGTCTGCTGCGTGGTGGCCGTAGGACGGCTCTGGGTCTGCTGCGGACAGTGCCTTACTTACAGCTATTCCCGGAGGCCTTTCTTCTCTGGCTGCTCTTGTTACAGCAAACTGAAAAAAATCCTCCACTGCCAAGGGTGGGGTTGCTAGAATACGGCGGAGCCTTCGCAGTTCCATACAAATCTGTCAACTGTGTGAGTGGTCCCTCTTTCCTGAGGCTGAGCTTAGGAACCATGCCCTCCTCTCGAGCCTGTCCAGAGCTTGTCTGTAGAAGGCGACCCACTCACTTCTACTTACCAAAGGCTGCTCCGGGAGGAGACTCCAAAGTTCAGAAAGGACAATTAAACTTCTCTCTGCCTTTATTAAAGTTGACTCTATCAATCACAGGGACTGTTGGCACAAATCGTCTCTTTGGAACTTAGAATGATCCCAGAACTCCGTTCCCCGTACCACTTGAAGGCCTGGCCATCAAGCCACTTTGGTGGGACCAGTCCTGGGTGGGGTGCAGAGGATACAACACTGCCCACGTACCCCAAGTGTTGGAGCTGGGCAACCTGCACGTGGGGGTTCAGTACACTAGCCTACTTCTGCATACGTTTAAAAATTTCCATAATAGGCATGCCCGGGTGGCTCAGTCAGTTAAGCTGCTGCCTTCGGCTCAGGTCATGATCCCAGGGTCCTGGGATCGAGCCCCACGTCTGGCTCCCTGCTCAGGGGAGAGCCTGCTTCCCCTCTCTCTCTCTCTGCCGCTCTGCCTACTTGTGCTCTCTTTCTGTCAAATAAATAAAATCTTTAAGAAAAATTTTTTTCCATAATAAAGCATTTTTAAAGGGCCCTCTCTGGAAGGTAAAGACAAATGAGCCAAAAGGGTTATTATTCAAGTGTACTAAAATGTCTACTTTAACAAAGGCTTAATTTTTCCGCTCATTTCTAAAGAGCAATAATCAACATTTTATAACATAGGATAATTAGTATTTAATTGTTTCTAGGTAAAAGCATTCATACATGCTATGTCAGGGGAAACGGAACCACCTAATAAATAACAGGAAACCCTGGGATAGCACTGCTCTGGGTTTTGTGGCAGATAACCAGTTCCCATCCCACGAAGAAGTGTCACACAAGCCCCTGGAGTCGGCCTGGTGAGAAGAAAGGGGGTATAGCCCCAGCATTGGACAGTCTCAGATGGAGGAAAACAACTGCATCGTTATGAAGGCCGCCACCAGCTTCACACTTGTGCTAATGATGAAGGGAACAGGGTTGCCAGCCAAAGCCTGGAAAGAAATGACCTTGAATAAGCTTTCCAAATAGTAGCAGGGTTTGCATGTGTATGACCAAAGATTAAAAAGTTAGACAAGATAAATGCGGATCAAAGGCGCTATCAAAACTAGAAACTAGTAAGCTGCTGCGAGCCAGTCCTCTAATTCACAGGTGGAGTTGGCTGATGTACAACCTTCCACACAGTCCTCGAGGACTCTGACAGGGTCGGAAATAAGGAAAGAGAAAAGATGTCATGACTGATACTCTTTACCCCGAGCTGGATGCCAGTGCCCTGAATCTAACAGGATGGAGCCCAAGAGACTGTGTAGGCTCTCAGGGAGGAAGGCCCTGTGCTCCCATCCACTGGTCCGTCCATCCATCCATCCATCCATCCATCCATCCATCTTTCCTTCCTTCCATCCATCCATCCTTCCTTCCTTCTGTCCGTCCATCCATCCTTCCATCCTTCCTTCCTTCTGTCCATCCGTCCATCTATCCATCCATCCATCCTTCCATCCATCCATCCTTCCTTCCGTCCATCCGTCCATCCTTCCATCCATCCATCCATCTATCCATCCTTCCTTCCTTCGGTCCATCCATCCATCCATCCTTCCATCCATCCATCCATCCATCCATCCATCCATCCATCCTTCCTTCCATCCATCCATCCTTCTGTCTGTCCGTCCATCCATCCATCCTTCCATCCATCCATCCATCCATCCTTCCGTCTGTCCATCCATCCTTCCATCCATCCATCCATCCATCCACCCTTCCTTCTGTCCGTCCATCCATCCTTCCATCCATCCATCATTCAACCAAAAGAGAAAACAATATTTACTGAGCACCTACACTCAAAGAATAGGAGGGTACAGGGGTCCTTGCCCTGGAGCTGCTCACAGTGAGAGAGAAAAATCAGGATTCAGCTTGGGAAGGAGCACACTGTGTGTTGGGGTCCGTGCAAAGCTGCAGGGGGGTGCCCAAGTCTGAAGGGCGGTGCGATGGCGACACCAGCCTGGCAGTACATGATAGGGTAGTGAGATACTCAGGCATTTGTTACATCATGGGGTTGGAAAAGACTGCAAGCAGGTGCATCTTCACACAAAAGGCAGCTGTACTTTCTGCCATGTTTTTGGGAAAGAGCTTCATTGGAATGATTTCAACATCTTTTAAGTTGTCAAACTAAGAACAGTTAGTGGAAGTAATTTCTTGTAGCTCATGAGAAAGTGGCCCTTTTCATTCTAGTCAGTCACAGATTGGATGTTTTAGGGAATTATCTTGCTTCTGTGGGTATAATATGTCCGTGCCAGACTGCAGCAGGGGTGAGGTTGATTTAGAATCGGGGTAAGCAAGAGAAGACAGAAAAAGGAGAGTTTTAAATGACACCTTAACTTTTATTTTTTTTTAAAGATTTTATTTATTTATTTGACAGAGAGGGACACAGCGAGAGAGGGAACACAAGCAGGGGGAGTGGGAGAGGGAGAAGCGGGCTTCCCGCTGAGCACGGAGCCCGATGTGGGACTCGATCCCAGGACTCCGGGATCATGACCTGAGACGAAGGCAGACGCTTAACGACTGAGCCACCCAGGCGCCCATGACACCTTAACTTTTAAAACTACTGGTGAGGTTGGGGATATCGTAAAAGGCTAAGAACACAGTAAGAATAAAGAATGGGCCTTACTACCGGATCCCATCCACTCTACTCCCATGTGACAAACCCCTCCAGTGCTCTTTAAAACAAGCATCAGGAGGCACATTTCTGGCGTCCACTAAGCTTCAGGGGGTCTCATGTGTCCATAAAACCTACGCAGTAAACAGAGTGTTAGGCACTAAATTTCAAATCTCCTTTACAAAGCTATTCATCGAGCTCTAACTTCCACAAAGTGCAAAGACTAAGGAAGAGGGAGAAGGGTTTCCACCAGAGTCAAGATCCGAGAAACACACGTGGCTACAGATGGACGGTCTGCCAGGGCGTCCCTGGGATAGAGATCCGGGGAGTTGTCTGAGGCTCCTTCTGAAAGTGTCTAAGAAAGCAAGCATTCTGTGAAGACATGACGATGGCATCAGAAACATGAGCCCTTTGCTCTGGAAACCAAAGCCCGTCGGAATCATGAACTGAAACGGACTCAGGTTGGAGCTCCATGTGCTGGAAACGCAGGCACGTGACAACGGCCACGTCTGGCCTAAGATGCTGTGCCCATTGCCGGCCGTCTCCCAGAGTCATCACCCCACAGGTAAGCTCTGCTCAGCATCACTTGCTGTATGTCCCACCCACTGATGGCTGCTGACAGCCAAGCGCTGAAGCAGGACAGCGGGAAGTCAGGGGAGGGGCAGGGAGAGGGGACACAACTTACTCGCGTCACCACCAGGACCGACAGCACTCTGCAAAGCCTCTCGAGCTGGGAGACCCGAAAAGGGTACACTAATAATCTGCAGGCTGAACTGCCATGAAACAGTTATCACTTAGGGTGTCACGGGACATGTTATCTCTGTGACTAAGGTTCATCATTGTGCATTCACTGCAGAGGCCAAGACTGGAATACGAAGGTGTGTGCAACTGGTAAAAATGGTATTTAACAAGTAAAATGATAACCTGCTCTGTGAGGCAGAATTCTGGGGCCCTGACCCTCTGTTTATTCATTTGTCATTGTGGATCTGTAACTGGCTTGACCATTCATGCAGACACGTCTTGGGTCTGTTCCTCAACGTTTCAGAAGAGGACCAGGTGCCCACCATGTTTTTGCCAGGAATCACACGCTTGAACACAGGGCCATCCGGGCCTGACTATGAGTCCACAGAGGGAAATACTCAGACAAGGGGCCACACTGCTCCTTCCATAGTCTATACACTTTGCAAATGCCGTCAAGCTAGGCCATCAGGAAGCCACACACTTAGACCATTGCTTTAATTTCTTGTAGAAATAGCTTTTGCCATAATGTTCTCCTGTTACCAGCCTGAGCATGGCTTAGAAATCAGCTCAGATTCATGACTGCGCATCTCGTGAACATGCTGCTAAGAAATTTATGCACGACATTACGCTTCTACAGGGGCCACGGAGACAGTGCTCCCCCCCTTAGTGTGAGGGAAGGCCGGGCTTCTTCTAAAACCCCAGCTTGTTGCCCTATTTGTGACTTTTGCCACCGACTGTGAACCGCGTTGCTCTGGCGGCCAGGGAAGGAGGAGACAGGTGTGCAGCCACCACCGGTGAGTGTGGGGTCTGTGGGCATGCATCGCTGCAGACAAGTCATACCTGTGGCTTTACCTTTTCCTCCCATGATTTTCCCTTCAATTTAGTTATATTACCCTCTCTGTATGCTTTTTTGTGAGCTACCTCCTCATGCTGATTTTTATCATCTGATAGCATCTGATACATATTCACCTGTGTACAAAATAATATCCTGCTTCCATTCATGAAAGCATTGCTTATGGGCTTGAAAGTCTCTGGGTCCATGCAGAGCCCAGTGGCACTCACAGAATCAGCTGTTGCTGGTTCAAGGCCGTGAGGACTCTTTAAATCCTATTATTTGCCTGTGTTCTGGACGGGGAAGTCCACGTCAAGGGTAAGAGGTGGATGTGGGATTTGAACCCAGCCTCCCTTAAGTCTCTTTCCCGCCATGCATCACGTGCAGAAGACCACCACCCTTTTTCCCTTGTCTTGTTGTATCCTATGTGCTATTTCCCACTCAGAGGATCCTCAATTCGTTAATACTGTCACAAGGACTAAATGAAATAACCTGGTCAAGTGTTTGGGCTACACCCTGACAAATTAATCAGCTGTGTGGATCTGGTCACGTGAGAACCTTCAGGGGAGGGAAGGTCTAAAGGTCAACAGCAAAGGTGGAGAATCGAGGCCTAGAAAGTGTGGAGTTACTGAACTGTTCTGGGAGTGTGTCTGTAAAGACGGGTCACAAGTGCCAAGGTCAGGTGCTGACTGCGGGGAGGGATGGAGAGTGCCAAGCAGGAAGTCCTGCACATACTAAGTACTGTAAGTATTTACTCCTCTAAAGTTAACTTTCTACACAGGGAGGGTTGTAACACGTTCACAGCCTCCGAATAATGAACTGACAGCTGTAGAGAGAAGACAATAAGGCAGACATAAATTGACCAGTGGTTAAGAACCTTCGTTTGTGTGGAGAGGTTGGTGACTTTGGTCTGTTTGAACTGGGCAGAGAAAAGATGGCGCTCATGGAGAATCCTGATAGCTGGACTGGCAGACAACACACACCGTCTTTCAGAATGAAGACTAAAGTCGGGAGACCTGGGACCCAAGAGGGGAAAGTCTGTGTGTGAGCACGATGAGAGCTGACCCGGTGACCACCAGGAGACCGGTCAACTTCCCCGAGAAGCCCTATGGCCAGTGCAGGCGCCTGCACCGGGGATCAGGCTAGCTCTTAGGAGGGCGTGTGATTACACTTCCTTCTAGTAGTGAATTTCCGCGTCATAGTTACGCTAGGCATACAATGAGCTCCTTTTCCACCTGGTTCCTGGGCTTGGGCAGGTACAGCAGTGACCGCAAACAGCAGTCTCTCCTGGGAGAATCTGCCTCTGAGCACACAGAACTGACAGATCTTCCAAGCGCGGAGGTAGATGTCACAGTCTCTGGGGTTGACGTCTTTCAGCTCCCAGAGACTGAGAGTGGAGGGCTTTTTGTCTCGAATCCTCTGTGTTCAAGGTGTTCAGAGTTCAGGGCAATCTGGGCTGGATTCCTCATCATTTACACAGACACTTGCACCCCTGGATGTCCCCTTTCCCAGCCTGTGCCCTAAATCTGCCCCAGAGACCCACTGGTTGCCAGAGAGGCAGGCTGTTCACTGCGGAGTTGAGATGCTCACAGTGGCTTCAGGAAGAAGCAACCAGCTTAGGAGAGAGACCATCCAAGAAAAGGAGAGACAAAGTCTGAGCTATGAAGCACCAGAGGACGGGGCAGCAGCAAGGAAAGAGCTCTTCTCTGGAGAAGGCGGTGGGTGTCAAAGACGGGGCCATGCAGAAGTGGTCAGATCCTGGGGTCTACAAGCGTGCGAGCCAGGCTCGGGCATGCGGTCCCCAGGAGTAAGGCCCAAGTAAGTACCGTCATCCCACGAGTCACCAGGGTCAGCAGGGAATGGACTGGCTAAATACAACCTTATTTGTTCTCAACACATTTCAGTTTTTCTTTACATACCCTTGAATTATCTACATTGCACATTGATTTAATGGCAGGTAAATTCCATAGTGTCTCCCCTCCAGCTGAAGTAAATACTACTCTGGAATATCGGTCACCTGGTGACATGAAAAAGAAAAGAAAAAGGTTTATAATTGTCCATTTCTTTCATCAGACTCAGCATTCAGGAGCAACTCAAATGGGGAAGCACAGGGACAAGTCATTAGCAGCAGGGAGCCTTTCCTTGATAAATTCCAGGAGAAAAAAAATAAAGCAATGCTATAATATTGTTTCTGCTCAAACCCTCTGTCTACTCACAACATCTGAAAACTCATAGGAGTTATATAACAAATCTATTTCTGATCAGACTGTGATTAGGAACTGTAATCCGTAAGAACACTCAGCACAAAATTAACTGAATGCCTCCCTCTTAATTTTGAAACACATTACCAGAATGGGGTGTAAACCCCAAGAAGGATCCATTAGGGCATATCAAGAGTGGGTGTTTGCTTTGGCAGCACACTAGGGAGGAAAGATGACAGGTGATCAATTTAAAAGCACTAAAAACAGGCAACCAGGTACCGAATGTGGGCCAGCGTCGCAGATATACTACACGTTCTGGCTGGGTCTGTGGTCTCTCTGGTCCATCAGAGTCTAGAATAAACACTGTGGTAATCACACTAACACAGGCTGGCTGCAGGACAGGTGAGCCCGGCCCTGGGGCCAGAAGCAGTGGTCCTGCCTCGCCCCAGCTCTGGGGACGAACACCTCCTCTGAGCCTTGGCCCCTCATCTGTAAGCACATCTCTCTCAAACAGGTGCAAGAACTAAAGGAAAAACAGTGGGTGAGTTAGTGCTGTTTCAGCTCCCTCCGCCATTAAGAACTTCATATGATAAAAACAGAGTGGACTCACTTTCTGTTATCTAAAATGCCTAATTGTGCTGACAAAGAAAACCAATTGGCAAATTTATGAATAAAGCTTTAATACATGAGCTTTTATTCATGATTAATAAATTTTCTTTAGTAAGCCCTTTTCTTCACCAAATGGCCATTATCTTATGTTGACTGGCTTCTAAGAATAAGACAAGCCCATGGAAACAAGCATTCCCTCCTCAGAGCAGGACTGGGATGGCCTTCCTCAAGGTGGAGCCGTGGCCAAAGGGGTGAGTGTTGTGTGTGGGCGGGGACAGACGTGGCCACATTTCATGAATTTGCTAATGCTCGTCCTGGTTCAGATATTAACCAACAGATGTTGGTTCAGAAATCTATAGTGCCACTCTGGGAGAGAGAAACCAGCCAGAACATTCAACTACAGTTCAAATTTTCTAATAAGACACAGAAAAAGACATGTGTGCTCTTTCCTGGGACCGGGACAAAATTCTCCCTCATCTCCTATTTTCCATCTCTTGGTTACTGTAGAGCGAAAAAGTGTCCCAAGTAAAGACCTTCAGGCTCAGCTAGATCTAGAAACATCAGAGGTCCGGTGAGGTCCTCTAACAAGACAGGAAAATACACATTTTAGGGGGATTTTCAACAACAATTTTTAAAAAGCTGAATTCAAAAGAGCATTGGTGTGAAGGTTCACTGAAGAAGAAGCTGTAGGTCCTCACGCCCGCTCTCCACGGCTAAGCAGCGACCTCCAGGTGCACTGGTGTCCCCGAGGCCACGCTCTATGCCCCAGCAGAGGCTGGTTAGTGAATCTGCTGCCAGCGTCTGGAGACCTGTTGATGCTACATTCACCTCTGGGTTCCTGACCTCAGGGAAGTTCCTACACATCTGGGCCCTCATTTCTTCAAGGCCACATTCTGTGGAGCTAAGTGGCAGCTCTTCACGCTCTGAGACAAGTCACGTCCTGCTGCCTGATGTGTTCACACGTTGGGCTGGCCCCCAAGGCACTCCAGCCATGGGCCTCTGGACCGTATTCTGTTCATCTTTCTATCTCTAACACCTAACAACAAGGCAGGCACAGGGAAGGCTATTATTTATGCTTTCTGAATGAAACAAAACTTAAAAAGTGTATTTCTGATAATATATAGGTTATTTTAGGGTTCAATCCAAAACTATGTACTTGTTCACTGAGAATATTTTTTAAAATAATGTAAGAAATTTAAAATGACTTGAAATTTGGGGCAAGGTCAAGATTTTTTTTCGATATTTTTATCTTCCTTAAAACTGAATCTAACTCAACAATCTCATTACTTTTTATTATAGGTAAATAAATTCAGATTAGTGGTTGACTGACCTTGAGAAGTAAAACTACAAGTTAATTCAGCTAAAATCTGTGTCAGTGCCCAGCATATCCTCCCACCAGTCTCAATTTACTTGTGCTCCATCTCGAGCACAAGGAGCCCCAAGAGGCTGTTCACCTAGGATGCCACTCACTCGGAATGTCGCAGAAAAAGCTGTCTTTGTGGAAGTTCCAGTCAACTTCTCTTTTCTCTCTTTCATAGTGATCATCTGACCATCTATCATCCCGATGGCTGAAATGGAACGACAATGTGATCCTCAATAAAGCACTTGGACAGCACAGGGAATGTAGTCAACAACCTGTAACAGTGTTGCATGGCGGCAGATGGAGGCGAGCACGCGAGCACGGTGTAGGGTACAGACTTGTCCAGTTGCTCTTATACACCCAAAACTAAACCATGTGTGTCAACCATAATGCAATTATAAAAACGTAAAAATAAAGTACCAGCTATTTCAAGTCCAATAAACATACCAGTAACGGTATAGCTCAGCCATGACCTACCTGAAATTAATGTTGGTTGCTTATATTAATCCTTTTTTCTCAGTTCTGTAAAAGACAAAAACCCCAAACCCTCACTTTTTTACCTTAATACAACAAAATCTTAAAAGACAACGAGAATGTAAACAAATTCAGTGGCAAAGATTTTGAGCCACACACTTGCATTTAGTGATCTTGCTCAGGCAATCCTTAATAGTGGAATTCATCAAGCAATGTTTTGTGTAAAAGTTAATAAACAATTACCTTTTGGCTTGTTCATCTGCATATTTAAAAGGATAATTTGCTAATGTTGCTTTGTATCCCGTATTTTTCACCATGTTATTCCACGTGACCAGTCTCTGGCCTATCGCAGTCCCTCTTGGCTCAAAACCCTGAGACAAAATATTACAAATTCCCATTAGTGCTCTTTTCTTCAGGCTATGAATGGTTACAGCAGGTTGGGAAAGCAATGCTGGGCGCCGTGTGGCTTTCAACAGGAAGCACAGATGCTCCTCGCAGCTACCCCGGGGAATGAACAGCACTGAACAAGATGGCGGCCACCGTTCACTGCGACAAGGCAGTTTGGTTCTCTGGTGTGTGACCTGTTTCAGCAAAGAGGAGTAACTGTGTCTGAAGCTTCGCTTTCAAAATCATACCTAAGCGATTAGCAAATACTTTGATGTTATAAAAAATTATGGTGAAATCAAATTATGTCATGCATGTTATAGTGTTTTATGGGAACATTTACTTAAAAACAGACCCTGCTATCTCTTAGTAAAACTGAAATTCCTTTCACTTTTCTGCGGGGGGCGGGGATGGGAAGACACTCAGTCTTAAAGACTTTATGAGACTATTTTTATAGAATGCAGATTCTCCATTTTATTGCTTTTTAGCTTAAATGTGGGAGCCAGGAAGCAAAATTTCCAGGTCTGTAATGGCAAACAAGTTCCTTGACCTTTTAAGAATCTGAAAATAGGATGACAACTGTTTACTTTTCAGAAGGAGAGCGGCATACTCCTGTTGGGTTGAGAAGGTTTTGAAAGAAACAGGATACTAAGTTATATAATTTGACACGTATTAAAATACTGAATTTCTTGAGATAATTTTGGGCTACAGAAATCTGACGGGCTGAATTTTCCTTACCAGCAGTGGATCAGAGAAGTCGGGAAGCTCGGGCACTAACACCCCAACCAAGGCGCAGACAACGATGAACATGGTGCACATGCCCAGCACCACCACGGGCCAGTCCGCTATCAGGGATGCGTAGCTGCAGAGCAGAGAGGAGCACACAGGAGGCCGCTTAGAAGCAACACGAGGCTTTGCTGCCCAAGAGAGCAATGTGTTAAATCCTCCTAGTTCAGGCCTAGTCCAGTTTATCAAACAAAGATGCAGTGAGATGATAAGACAGATAGCATTTCACATCTACATCTGTTCCTGGAGAGATCTACAATCTACACCCTCACGTGGGGAGAAAATGTACTTGAAGAGAGGACCCATCCTCCTGCAGTCTCGTCTGGAACTTGTTTCTCCATCCTTGTACTCTGGCAGTTCTTGGAGAAGAACTCAGCCCACAAATAGGCTCATGTATCCACTTTAAGAATAACCAAACCAAACCAAAACTTCCCACAAACCTGTCACTTTCCTTCCAGCTGAAACTATAACGAACGCATCAGCCTGAGTTCCAGGAGAGAGAGACGCTTGTTTTCTAGATTCGTTTAGTGCAGTTTTAGTTCATTTAGTACACCTTTCAGAAGGCACCCTGTGAGTACCCGCCCCTCCCTTCACTCTCCAACCAACCTCAGCAGCTGGGCCTCGGTTTCCCCTCACTGTTACCAACCCCGCCCCAGGTTGGAGTCCTTTCTTCCGGGCGCCCCTCCCTTCTGTAAGATCCTGGGTCTTACTGTCATGACACTTGCGGATCTTGATGTGAACTCTGTGCTCAATAGGAGTTGACTGAACAGAATTCTTCTAAAATTCAAAAATGTATCTTGCCAACTTCAGGTTTCTTGAATTCATATTAGAGAAAAAAGGAGCATTTCGCTTGTGGACCATTACTCTCAAATCCTCCACAGTGTTAGCTTGACGGCTGTGATAGCTGGTTCTGGCTCCTTACTCCTGTGTTTGTGGGTTATTTCTTCAAAGTCAGACAAGGGGCTTAATGAAACTGGTGGCCCTAAATGTCGCTCAGAGAAGCTGCTGTTTGTCTCCAAGACAAGGCTGCTCATGTTTCCATTCTGATCACGCAACACCACAAATCTGGCTTTCTGGGGGTATTTACTTCACATGAAATTTTAATATGGAAATTAAAATACAACATAATTATGCTTTAAGGGAACACCTGCCAGGGATTTTTCAGTGTTGTTCTTCTCAAGGTGATCTCAGGAGGAGATTGCTTGCACTTACCGGTGGTTCCTACACATTACATACATCACCTCACTTAATTCTCAGAGCTTTCTGAGATGCACTGTGGCACAGTTTGGATCTGTGCTCCGCACCATGGAGCAGGGCCAGCCGGTGTCCTGGGCATGCAGCATGCAGCATGCAGCATGCTGACTACAGTTAGCAACACTGGACTGCACATGTGAAAGTGGCTGATAGAGTAGATCTTAACAGATCTCATCACAAGAAAACAAAATTCTATACCTCTGTGTGGTGGCGGATACCACACAGACTTGCTGTGGTGGTCATTTCACAATATATACAAATACCGAATCATCATGTGCTGCACCCGAAACTAACATGATGCTGTATGTCAGTTATATCTCAATAAAAAAGTCACAAATAGGAACCCCGGTCATCTGGCTCTAGAGTGGGGCCTCCTACCCACTGTGATATCATATCTTGCTCCGAACATGAGAGAAACAAAAGACATCAGGCCTAAGTCTACTTGCCACAAGTGTACGCTCCCCCAAATTCACACTGTGCAATGAATTCCCAAGCCACACTAACAGTTCCTTTCACAATGCAAAACCACCGAGGTCCACAGGTCTCCAAGCCCAGGCATTACTCACAAGCCTGCAAATTCTGAATTTAACAACTCACTCAGGAAAAATTATGCTAGATAAGATGGAACGATCCTTGGAACATAATTCTGAATGTAACGAAAACATATAAATCACAGACGCTGATTGGGCTTGTTCAAACGTACACACTGTTCCAGAATACGCCCAGTGCTGATAGTCTCCCCTGGACTCTGTTTCCTCCTCCACCAAATGCAAACTCAGGATGAAAGCAACTAGTGTGGAAGCAATCTAGTCCTTTGTCAACAGCACACTTGAGACTTTCTGTTCCCAGCTTCAGCCTTAAAAAAAGTCCATTACATTTTAGACCTTTAAAACATCACTTCTGTGAAATGAAAATGGCCCCAGGCTTAGACAATTACTCCCTATACTTTATTTTAGATGGATCAATTTTCTTGCAAATGGCCCACAAGTTCTGTGTTCTTACCTACAAACCTCTTATCAACAGGGGGCACTGGGCCCCCAAGTGCTTTAATTTCCCCAGATAATGACTTTTTGTTTTGTGTTCTTGAAAAGTCTGCAAGCACATGCAACTTAACACCCCCTTCAATCATTGCTTTTCTTCCCTTGAGCACATTTGGTTTTGATATTATACCCTGCCCTAGGCCATGTGTGTGCCCAGACTCACTCCACACGGAAACTTCAGGGCGTTAGCGATCGCCGCAGGCTTCTTCCAAATCTGTTGAGCATCACGGTGCTACGACTCTCTCCTCCCGCAGCGCGTGTCTCAGGGGTGAACCCCTCCCAGAGACAATGTTCACACTTCATGGAGTCACCGCACTGAGCACCGCGAGGGGGGCGGGGGGGAGTCCGCAAGGGTCTCTCCTCATTACTGCATTACTGCTGCCTGCACTGGACGTGGCTCCACCATGGGCACCACGTGGGAAACAGAAGTCTCATGTACATTATGAAACCCAGACAACGTTGTAACATTAAGATAAAAATCTAATAAAGCAGGAAAACCGGAGAAGCAAAGGAAATTAAATATAGCCTATAAATGTCACTGCTACATCTTCCACTGATTCCACTCCTGGTGAGTCTGGGTTCAAGGCCTATAATGTATCTAAGTGAAAAGAATAAAGTATCTGCGCATTCGTTTCTGAGCCGTGAACCACGTGTGCAGGAGCAGACGCGGCAAAAGGCCCACCGCTCCGACTGTGATTCGTCCTCCTGCGTGTCATGTAGTCCTTACCCCTCTTGTGCCTGCTCTCATTCTGGAGACCTCTAGACAAAACCACGGCCTAAGTGCAGATGCCATCGACCTCTGTAGCACAGCATTTCCCAGCCAGCAACCAGGAGGACTTCTCCCTGAGCCCCTGCAGGACGCTAAGTCCCAGAGAGGATGCGGATCGGAGGCTCTCTTCCCTCTACAGGACGGGGACACGTGTTGCAGTGGAGCCGAGGGTCCGCGCGGGCAGGCAGCCGGCGTCCTGCTCAGGCTGTCGGCACGCTGCAGTTTTTATGAGTGTCCCTCCCGCACCCTCAGAGGTCCCAGCCACCTTATTGCTGGGCTTACCCTGGGATGAGAGCAGAAGTAACTGTCCAGACAAATGCACCAAGCGTCTTTCGGGGTTAACTTTTGCTCAGGCGCCACTATGCGTGGGGCACCACTGTGTGGGGGCTGGTTCTAAATAGGCCATTTGTACCACAATGGGCCTCCACAGGGCATTTTCGCCTCTTAGCTCACAAAGCTGTTTTCCTCGGCCCTTCCGGCCCTTCCCGGCCTCTCTGGAAACAGGCTCTCCTTTCTCCCTTCCCTCTGAGCGGAGAGCTGGGCTTCACACAGCGTGAGTGCCCTGGAACCAGGCCCCCCTTCCCAACCAAACACCCAACCCATAACCCCCCGTAGCCGGCTGTGCTCTCTCGAACCTGCCAAAGCCAACAGACTAGTTTTCTTGGTTTTCATTCTCCCTCAACTGAGCTGTATTTAACACTTCAGTTACTACGCCCTTCTTCTCGGAAATCTCTTTTTTCCTTGTTTTTTTTTTTCCCCTTCTATTTCTCTTAACTGTTCCTTATTCCTCTTGTCCTTTAAGGGCAAGCATTTCAAAATGTTGTTAATCATAATTTTCCCAGTGGCATCGGCTATCAATTTAGTGGGAGGACTGACTGAGCTTGTGGAATTTCCCAGAACACAGGATACAGAACTCTTTGTTTGGAAGTAATAAAGTCAATGCCGTTAACGTCACAGAATAAGGGTGCAGGCGTCTGGGAGTAAAAACACGGCAGATGCAAATGTCGCCCTTTTGGGACGTGGAACCTGATACAGAGAATCAGACAACTTTATAAATACTTACAAAACCAGGTAAAGAAATGTGTGTTTTTAAAAGGATACAGGTATTTTGTGAATACAACAGAGATTACTTCCAGCTAGGGGAGGGGAATCAGGAAAGGCTTTTTTGAAGAAGTTGTATTTGTATGTGTATGTACTGAAAAGAAGACACTAGGACTTGTAAAAATACCAATGTAATAACAGAAGAAATATGAAAGAATGTCTTCAAAATGCAAAAGTCTTAGTCATTAGAGAGGGTTGTATTATTTGTAGAAAAATGCAAATTCATTTTCCTCACATGCCATAGTTACTTGTATAACCTCTTCCTTTATAGGCCATAAACACGGTCTATCCAGACAACGGACTGTCATTCAGCCTTCAAAAGGAAGGACGTTCTGCCACTACATGGAGGAGCCTGGAGGGCATCCTGCTGCGTGACACGGGCCAGTGCACTCACAGGAGGCATCTGCAGAAAGTAGACGGTGGCGCCGGGGGTTGGGAGTGGGAGGAACGAGCAGCGGCGGTTTAACGGAGAGAGTCTCTGTTCTGCAGGACGAAGGCAGTTCTGGAGGTGACTGTGGCCAGTCCCCACGGTAACTGGAACTTGGCGCCACAGAGCCATGAACTTACACTTGGTTAAAATGGCAGATTTTATGCTCTATTTTAGCACAATTTTTAAAAATAAATAATTTTTAAATGGAGAAGGAATTTATGAATGAAAGTTGATGTAGTAATTATACTGGAAAGAGAGGATAAGCCTTCTCTAGCAGGTGAGATTCAAGGATCGTTTAGTTGCCAACATCTGGAACCGCCATCTACAAGCACATCACCGAGGAGACCAGGCTTTTTTTTTAAGAAACACTTATCCCTTTAAAATTCTGCTTTTTGACTGAAAAGATAAAACTTCAAAATTTCCACATAAAAGACTACCTCCATTTTAATACAGTAACCACATTTTGGAGAAGAAACACGCACAACCCCCGAAACAAAGGGCTACAAACCCAACTCATGGCAGATGGCAGAGCAGTGACTTGTCCTCAGCAAATAAGAAAAGAAGGAAGGGACCCACTGCAGGAAGGAGCCAATGTGAACGATGAAACACAAACAGAATCTAAAGACTAAACTCTACCTTCAGGCCACCCGCTTTGGGAGAGGGCGTTACTCAAGCAGCCAAGTCAGGGGAAATGTACTTTCCCTTCATAAAAATACGAATGAGGAAGGCAGGAACAGCAACAAATGTGACCCAAGTACCAAAGAGCACAGTGCGCAGGTAACTTCATTATCTAATGAGATGATACAGATTACTTTACCTTTTTGGCAACTTGAAAGGTCTGCGCGGTCTGCAAAAAAGCAAAAGAAAACCAATCAGAAACAAGGAATCACAACACAACATTTTTATGTGCACTTAGCACTGTCCTTGGTACTGCTCCTGCGCAGGCGCACATGGCGGCGGGGGGGGGAGCCCTGGCAGGCCTGGGTCGGGGTGTCAGAGCAGCTGCCCAGGACGTGGACATATAAATGGATTGTTTTTAAATTGAATTAAATGACACAATTACCCAAACAGACCGCCGACATGCACAGGCTTGATAAACACTCGAGTCAGACTCTAGGGGCAGAGGCCATGGACGCCATGGACCCTCGCACATGTGGCCAGCGGGGCGCCGAGGGCACGGCGGGAAGGAGTGACACCACGGAGTCGGTGCAGGGCTCCAAAGGGGCTTTCATTAAAAATGGCAACTACTCAAGTAGTTATGAAGAATATTTAATTTGGGGGGTAAATCTATCCAAAAACCAAAACACTGTATTTTCAATATAATTACATACTTGTTTTTTCAATTTTATTAATATACAATTCACAAACCATACAATTAATCCATTTACAGTGTATGGGTTGGTGGTTCTTAGTGCCTCCACATACTGGTTTTTAAAGAATATGCTACCTGAACCCCAGTGATGAAGCTACTAATGAGCTTGCAGAGAAAACCTACTTTTACAGAGTGGGAGAGTAAGGCGCTGAACAAAGAAGCAGATCATTTAACTGGTACACGAACCATTAATATTTTACTCACAGTGTTCAAGTTAGAAATCCTCAAAACCACGTCCTGATTTTCCGTAAGAACCTAACAGACTTTGTTTCCTTTAGGTCTAACGTGAACCCTCAGAGCCACGACTCTGGGGCAGATCGTACTCAGCAGTTGCAAAGAAATGATATTTTATTATGTACATTTTGGGTTGTAACAAATGTAAATATTCTCTTTCCCCTACTCACCCCCACTAACTTTTTTTTTATCAGATAAATTTATGGATCTGTGACTAGTTTACTCCCTAGAGGCAGAAACACCCACAGACTCATCACATTCTTTTGGCTCAAATAAAGACTTCACTCTGTGTTATATTTGGGAAAGTAGAGATGGTCACATCCGTTGCATAAGGAAAACAGGTTACCACCAAGATACTTCTTGGAACACATGAGATCCCTTTGACACGACAAACAGATGTGTGAAACGACAGGATGACAGGTGGACACGAGACCCATCTGACTGGACATCGGTGATGATGCCGGGCCGCCTCTCACCCCAGAGGAGGCCAGCAAGGTGCCCCGCACACTTCCATCCACCAGAAGCTGTTCTCCTCCATTTGTAAAATCCTTCCGAATTGCTGCTTTTAATCTCTATCTAATAGACCCTGCAGCATGATTCTTCACCTAACCTTAGTCTTGGATTGATAAAGAACAACTCTAAAAACAATCTAATCTCTATTACAGAGCGAAATAGTCTTTTCCAGAGTTCATTCACCTTGAATACCATATAAACTCATGCCCAAAACCAAACAAACAGAAATAATCTCAGGTGGCAACATCTGCCCGTTCTTTGGTTAGGTTTTCAGCCTCTTAACGGAGAAAAAAAAAAACCCAAAGCAGACGGCATTTGCTCCGTGACACAGTTCCAGGGATGAGCTTGAGTTGTGCACTGTTCCCAGAGGACTAGCTCCAGAACACATTTCTGTACTCGAGTGGGTGACAGCAACACCATTATAGGCAAATCTCCAATCTGTGTAAGAAAGCACTTTGTAAGTTTGCAACTCGGGTCCTCACAAATAGGAGTAAGCTGCCCAGCACCTCACACCTGAGAACAAGAACAGTTGGGCACCGTGGCTCCGGGACCCCGAAAGATAGCGAACTGTGCCGTGTGCACATCCCTCGGTCAAGAGCACAACTAATGAGCCCGCAAAGTTCTCAGGACAGGAGGAGGGAGGTACAGAGCGGGGGAATCCCCATGATGGGGTCGAGGCAGATACAGAGGCAAGGCTAGCCTTTAAAAAAGGTAATAGAAAAAAAGAAGTATGAGAGGAAAGTTAACAAGAAAGGGAAAATGTGGAAAAATCTACAAATGGTATTTCTTTGTTTCCCTTGCGTTTTCTCTCTTGTAACAGTGTTTGGGAGAGTGGGGGACTGCAGGGTGAGGGAAAGAAGATTAGGAAACCAGGAACACGCCCCCAGCCATCTAGAGCTCTCTTGTTGACAGAGCTGCAGAATCAATATCACAACTTACAAAGAGACAGCGTCAGCTTCACAAATTCCAAGTCATTCTTTTTAGCTGTTGGGAAAATCAAAGCCATGAGGGAAAACTGTGTATTTCTTTTTATTTTTTATTATTTATTTTTTTAAATTGAAGCATAGCCGACACAGGCTGTGACGTTCGTGTGCGGCACACAGCACGGTGACACGGCAAGAGTGTGTGTTACACTGCAGTCTCACGAGTGCGGCTGCCGGCCGTCACCACACTTCCCTGGGACAACACCACTGACTGTGTTCCCCGTGCCGTGCTGCTCCTCCCAGGACTTATCCATCCCATTCCTGGAAGCTGGACCTCCCTCTCCCCTTCACCTGTCCCTCCCCTCCCTCTGCAGCCACCAGTCTGTTCTCTGTATTCAGGGCTCTGTTTCTGCTCTTGTTTGTTTTGTGCTTTAGATTCCACATATGAGTGAAATCGTATATTTGTCCTTCTCTGATTGAGTTATGTCACTTAATATAATACCCTCTAGCTCCATCCACGTCGTTGCAAGTGGCAAGATTTCACCCTTTTTTATAGCTAAGTAACATTCCAGTGTGTGTGTGTGTGTACTGCAACTTTTTTAAATTATTTTTTTAAACTGCAGTATTTTATTTTTTTTGAGTAATCTGTACACCCAATGTGGAGTTTGAATTCACAACCCTGAGATCATATGCCCTACTGACTGAGCCAGCCAGGAGCCCCACTACCACATCCTCTTCAACCATTCATCACTCGATGGACACCTGGGCTGCTTCCATATCTTGGCTGCTACAAACATGGGGTGCATGTTTCCCTTCAAATCAGTGTTTTCATTTGCTTTGGGTAAATACCCAGCAGTGCGATTACTGGATTGTAGGGTAGCTCTATTTTTAACTTTCTGAGGCACCTCCATACTGTTTTCGAGTGGTTGCACCAGCTTGCATTCCCACCCACAGTGCACGAGGATTCCCCTTTCTTTGCATTCTCGCCAACACCTGTTGTTTCTTGTACTGCTGATTTTAGCCATTTTGACAGGTGTGGGGTGGGATCTCTTTGTGGTTTTGATTTGCATTTCCCTGATGATCAGTTATGTTGAGCATCTTCTCATGAGTCTGTTGGCCATTTCAATGTCTTCTTTGGAGAAATGTCTGCTCATGTCTTCTGCCCATTTTTTAACTGGATTGTTTGGGATTTTCTTGGTATTGAGTTATATAAGTTCCTCGTATATTTTTGATATTAACCCCTTATTGGATGTATCATTTGTGAGTATCTTCTCCCATTCAGTAGATCGCCTTGTCATTTTGTTGATGCCTTTGCTGTTGCCCTTTGTGGGCAAAAGCTTTTTATTTTGGTGTAATCCTAATACTTTACTTTTGCTTTTGTTTCCCTTGCCTCAGGAGACATATCTAGAAAAATGTTCCTAACGCCGATGTCAAAGAGTTTACTGCTAATGGTTTCTTTTAGGATTTTTATGGTTCATGTCTCACATTTAGGTCTTGAATCCATTTTGAGTTTATTTTTGTGTGTGGTGTAAGAAAGTCGTCCAGTTCCATTCTTCTGCATGTAGCTGACCAGTCTTCTCAACACCATTTGTTGAAGAGATGTCTTTTCCCCATTGGATGTTCTTGTCTCCTTTGTCAAAGACTAATTAACCATATAAGCCTCTCCATTCTGTTCCATTCCTTCTTTTCTTAAAAAAACTGAGGTATAACTGACATACAATATTAGTTTCAGTAGTACAACCTAATGATCAATATTTAGATTCACTTGTACAATGATAAGTCTGCTTAACACTGACATAGCTTTGTATATTTCTGAAAAATGAAAATGCTTTGAAGGAAATATATTTTCTGCTTCATGGGCTGTAGCCAAATTTAAGTAAGAAAGTGCCTAAATTAGCACATTTTTGTCTCAAATGTCCCACTGGATTGTGCCATATTGCCTTTTTGTAAAAGGGCAGACTGCAAATAGTAACTTTTCAGTTCAGTGCTGGTATGTGAGGAAGAAAGTATCTGAAAGAATCCACACCCTGATGAACACTCTTAAGACTTCCAACAAAAACCAAAGCATTCTTTGTCCTCTAGTATTTGCATGGATCATCATAGGGCCCCTCGGGTGCTGTCGAGAAGATGAAATGAGCAATCTGTAGGCCAGCCTTTGATCCACCGTTCACACAGCAGAGCTGGGTGTGCTTGGGTGATGCATTTCCTGAACGCTCACAGGACGTCCCCTCCATGCGGGTCATCTCACGTCTGGAGCTGTTACCACTGAGGAGCCCCAACTAGCACAAGAAGTACAAAATGAACCAGGCGGGCAGACGAAAGAAAGGGCCGGCAGTGGAGGACTAATGTTTAAAGAGCATCGCACAAACACCAAGCACTTTATACATATTAACAACGACATTTAGCATATATTAAATTAAATGCTTGAGTATGAGGAAATTGTCTTTTTTAAAAAAGATTTTCTTTCTTTCTTTTTCTTTCTTTCTTTTTCTTTCTTTCTTTCTTTCTAGAGAGAGAGAGAGAGAGAGCAGGGGGATGGGCAGAGGGAGAGAATCTCAAGCAGACTCTGTGCTGAGTGCGGAGCCTGACACAGGACTTGATCTCACGACCCTGAGATCACGACCTGAGCTGAAACCAAGAGTCTGATGCTCAACCGACTGAGCCACGCAGGCTCAGTCCTCTAAATACATAAATGTATTAAAAAAATTTGGAGGGGAACTCGGCATATCAATAACCCTCTTTACCCTGGGAGGAAAGAATCAAGGATGAGTTTCACTTTGTATTTTTGAATTCATGAGAATGTAT